TTTTTGTGCAAGAGTTTCCGTGAGTTGTAATAGCGGATTTTATTGAATTCATCGAGTTAGCGCGAATCCCCATTTTTGTGCAAACCAATCAGAACGCAGATTTTCCATGATAACGCTAATCGATAGCGATTATTATTGTTAGTAATATTATTATTACTACTAGTTTTGTTATTATTATTATNATTATTATTATTATTGAACTTCTCTGTTGTTCGTGAGGTTGATGATGTTATTGCTATTACTCAAGAAATTATTGACATACGAAGTAATTACTTATGAGTGTTGAAAAAATTTTGTTTTCGAAAATTCATAAAAAATGTATTAGTCGGGACTCTTAACTTGTTAGATACGATTAAATTTTTTTGATTTATTTAATAGCATAAACATCATTGTGGTAAAAAATTAATTATTTATTTTCAGGTATGTCAATTATTTTTATGTCCACAAGTTATTCGATGATTGTGGCTCCACACCTTTTAGACATTTTAATGCCTTTAAATGAATCACGTCCGAAGTTGATGGTCATCAATGCCGATTTTGGGGTGGATCAAGAAAAATATTATTACGAAACATTTATTGCCACTATGATATTTTTGCACACAGGATCTTCTATCATCGCAATCCTATCAGCAGCTCAGATAATGTTGATCCTTCAACTTAAAGGAATGTTTGCTGTCGTAAAGTAATTAACTTTATTAAATACAATAATTGTTGTACGTATTAGTAATTTATTTCAGTAATTGTGATAGCTAGTGATGATAACTGGTGACTGTTAAATCATTGTTACTGTCGTTATAATAATGATGTTTTAATTCAATGTCTTTAACTAGAAATTACAATATAATAAACCGTGTAGCTAAGGGATAAAATCGTACTGAGTATTAATATAAGCTATATAATGTAGACTTATAAAAATTGTAAGTTTTTTGTAAGTTTTCTCAACTGTAACTGAGCTTGAGTTCTTATTAACTTTGTTCAAAAGTACTTTATTAAGTTAAAATTTACAATTGACACCCAATATTTAAAAAAAACAAGTAGGCGAGAAGAAGTAATATTACCGACTGCCAGAGTGTGTTTTGACCAATGCTAAGGAGCAGTATATATTACGTACCTTGGGAGACAAGTAAATAATGTTCTCTAGATCAAATGTAAATTTTCACTCGTGGCGAAGCTTAGTATGCAATACGTTGCTCTTGCGCAAGCTGGCAGTGGTTATCAGTTTTTACCTGTGACGTGGTAGCTAAAGCTCAAAATAAGATAGTTTAATTGCAGTTTTGATTTGTAGGACACTCCAGTTTATGAAAACATTTATTTTACGCAATTCGAAACTGTTAAAATTGTAGGTTTTGCAATTAAAACGAGTTTTACAACAATTTTTTTATTCCTTTGAAGTACAAGAAAACATGTCTTAACACTTTAAGCTAATTACAACTTTAATATATTTGCCAAACTGCTTGCCACTGAAATAATATGTTTTACTTTTTTTTACTTTTAGTTACCGATTAATTGAAGCATCTAATCATGCACAAGATGATGATTATGTATATTCTACTGTTATATCAGCAATACGACTACATCAAGTACTGTATCAGTTAAGTGGTAACAACAAAAACGTTATTCAATAATAAATAATTTTCTAAAATATTGATTCTGTGGTAAAGATAGTTCTGATGGTGTTTTAAAGTCCTTACAACGATGCATGAGTTCAGATTAATTTTTTCAATGAAAAAGTAGTTAACGTTTCACTAAAATAGTTTTTTTTTCAAAGGGCTTAGTACAAAAGTTGAGATTATAGTTGAATCCATATTTAAAATTGTAACGACAAGTAAACTTAGTTGACCATTATTAACGAGAAAAAACAATTCTCATAATATAGCTTACTCATTTGCCCGGTACCGAACTACTTAAAGGTGACATCCAAAATATAAAATCTGTGAGATATATTTTACAAAGTGGATCCTTCAATTACTTATTTTTTTTTGCACTGTACATGATATGACAAATACGTTAAAGATACTAATAAAATTTTGAAAGCAAAACTTTTCACTAGAGCATAGAAATTCATTCCAAATTAAGTTGGCTTAACCGTAATTTCTGATTCCCGAAGCTAAAGTGAGACGATAATGTAAATTTATTTGTTCTCATTCAAAATTCTTAAAAATCTTGTGGAATATCGTTTATTAAATATATATTTCAGCACCCGTATTCAACATTTAAGTAGTAATATTCCGTAGGAAAAGAAGTTAGTTATATCTTTCTATCTTTCTATCCAACATTTAAATAAAAAAAAAGGATTTATTGTAGTACTTTTAAACTTTTTTCTTAACATAATTAAAAAATAATTTTTACAACACTGATGAAATGTTGACATACAATTGATAATACGGCTTTTTTATGATTTTGTGGGATTTCGAACAAGGAAAAAACAACATGAAGAATTTAAGACGTTTAAGGGAGGACTAAGTAATTGTGAGAGGATCAAAAATATTGAAATGTTGAAAATAACGGAAAAATCTAACTATTTTTATTTTATTTTATGGTATAAATTATAAACTAAAGACTTTTACGATAAAAATATATTCATAAACTCTTTCTATGATTGGATTTAAAAATAAAGTAATAATTACGAATTGTTATAGGTTAGTGGAGGTCATTGAAAGTGTATTTTGTTGGTCTAATTTTTTTTGTATATCTTCATTCGTACCTATGTCATGTGTAATGATAACCTATGTAAGTATCTAATTTTTTATTAACATTATTAGGAATTTTAAAAGAATATATATTTTATAAGTGCTTTTGCATACAATGTTTGGTTGAATTTTTAAATCTTTTTAGTATTCAAGTATTGAGTAGCTTTGTGACAGCAAATTTATACATATTTATTGGTCATTAGGGTAACATCTATTATTTCATTTTTCTTCTTAATAAATATTGTGGCAATAAGTAACTTTATAAGTGAAAATAAAAGTGTTTTTTAGTGATTGGGAGAACAAGCATTAATTATTAAGAGAAATACAAAAAATTTACGTATATTTTCAAGGTTGATTATTCATTACTCTCTAACAAAATGTAAAACTACTAGTTGTCCTCTACTTGCAAACATGGAATTGAATTACACCATTAGGTTAATATTGAAAAAATGACCTAAATAATTGCAAAAGGAACATAATTTTTAAACGATAATTTGAAGTATGTATCTTTATCATTAGCAAGATAACCTTACAAAAAATATATATATTATTTAGAAACATGAAGTAACTTCTAACGTAATAATCAATATAAAATAATTTCTTTATTGCATAAGATTACGTCGGAAATTTTCGATAAAAAGCACAGAAAATGTTACATTTTCAATCGGATTTAGTAAAATAAATCATACTCATTTTTAGATAACATATGATTGTAGAATTCTAAAGCTTATTTTCAGACTATGATTAGCCATTTTCAGTTACAAAAAGTGATATTATTTTAACTAAACAATATTTCAATGGGTTAATAATTGAAAATTTGTTTTTAAATTGTCAACTGACCTTGTAAATATGGCTATAATTTGTATTGATAATAATAATTACTTATGAATAAAATTTTTTACAACCTTAGCATTCTGAAATACAATTACTCTAATCATTTATGCATGGGCTGACCTCTACATTAAGAGACATATTTTTCATAAAAAATCCGTAAAACTAAGTTTGAATATATTTTTGTATACAATTATTTTTTAGTATTTTGAAGAGGGCAACTTGGAAATGTTGGACTCGATGAAAATATTCACGTGCATAATAGACATGCTCGTATTGATGACATATTTAATGTATACAGGTCAAATGATAACGGATGCGTCTCTGTCAGTTTTTTGGAACTTGTAAGTAAAAAACGCTTACCTTATTTATTTCAATTTAAAGCAGAATTATCAATTTATTCACTTCTTCTCATAAGGTATGCATTAAAATGGTATTATTTATCCGCAAGATCTAAAAAATTGATAAAATTCATGATGCTACGATCTATGAAGCCATGCTACTTAACTGGACTGCTTTATGCATTAAATATTGAAAACGAGGGAAAAGTACTAGTTTTATTATTGCCACTTTTGTTATCGACATCGTAATTAGTTGTGTATAGGCATTATATTCTTAATTATTAAAAATACAATCATCTTTCAGGTAATTAAGACAGTAATATCTTACTCTATGGTAGCCATATCACTCCGAAAATAAATAGTTCAACGAGTAACATAATATGTGGTCTCTTTTGATGAAGATAGTTTCAAAATATTTTTTAATAATCCTTGTTTTAATGTTAGCGAGTTACAAAAAATAAATTTCAGAATTTTATGCAAAGAATTATTATTTTATTACTTTTTATGAATTATTATGATTATTGATGTTATTGTTGCTATAATTTCAATTGTCATTGTTAGGTTCTTATCATGGTGCGCGTTTTCTGTTCTCCATGTATAAATTCTTTACTTCCTTTTTTTATCCTGCAATAACAAATTTTTTTGCAAGATTCGTCACTATTTTTTCGTTTTGAAAATCTCAAAAACCCTAGACTTGTTCAATTCAAGTGCTCTGAGCGCTGTGAGCAACCCAAGAGTAATTGAGGTGTATGTCTATGTTTATGGCCAAGACTGTAAATATAGATATACGCCTCAATGGTTTTTAAAAACTGCAATTTTTATTTTTTATTTTTTTTTGAACCAGTATATTCTTTATAACACTACGGAACTTAGTATCCTGCAATCACCTATTCCTTTAACTTTTACTCCCTGAACACTGGAAAGAGATAACTTTTCACCCTTCATAAATTTCTGAGTCTCAAAATTTATTGTGTTACTAATAGGACCATAATGACATCCATTATTGAGAATACTATTTTCTAAAACAAGATTGAGACATTTATATTACACATATTAAAACCATCAAACATTTAGAAGAAAAAATATACAAATTTTAATGTTTACTTTATATTCATGGCTTCTTCTAAATTTGTATCAACTACTTTTCGTTTAATGCAGTCAAAAGTACCGTTGCAAATGACCATGAAGTTCTAATAACCTATAAATTTAACGTTTGCTGCAAGTCATCTAACGAAATTTCACACTTAACAGTAAAACATATATTGTGAAGAAATTTAAATGATACCATAGCGTAAGTTTCCATTGAGAGTGTCACTAATGAAGCAGCTGTCAAGTGATTTCTTTTTTTGGCACGTATCATTATCATCAGCAGGAACTTTCGAGCTTTCAAGGGCATTTTGTACCATTCAATAAAATACCTAATATAAATTAAAAAAAGGTTTTAAATGTACATTAATTTCAATAACTTTCCCCTCAAAGAAGCTCACAACTTATACGAATTGAATGCCAATAAGATATGATACTTGAAGGGATAGTTATACAGTTAAGGCAATAGTAGTATGGACACTCCAATTACTTAAGTTTGGTTAGTCTGCACAGCAAGAAAGAAGAGTTATGAATACATTTTTTCATTTTGATGTATTAAACATGGGGTCTTGCTCTTGTAGTAAATTACACTTATGTTTAATATCCAAAGCAATTACGGTTCAGATTTTTATGAGAAAGAAATATCTGTCAAAAATAATGATTGTTTTTGTACGTATAAGTGTATTCATTTGGACATCTAACGAGTGTAGGAGAATGATTGACGATTTATTTGAGTAGCTCCGTAATAATAATACATTGATTTGATTATTAGGGACGAGTATAAACTGTTTTCAATCTCATTGCAGTGTGATTAACAAAGCCATACAATAATCGTCTTGGATTTTATTAGTAGCGTTTTGAACTTATGGTTATAACTATGGTGACTTCCAAAAAAAATGTTCTCCAGAAACAGAAGATCCAATTAGTCAAAATTAATTTTCGTATCTTATATAGATATGTAAAATATTTAGACAAATATAGTCATAAATCTTTAACAGTTGTAAAATACGTATATCCTGAAATATATTATATATACGTATAAAATATATCATCCATGGTTCAATATCAGAAAGATTAATTGTAACTACGTTTGCTGGGATTTTAATTTTTTTTTTAGCCGAGGGTTACTGTGACAGTCTATTGCTCTATTCGCTTTGAGCGTAATTTTGAAACAGCGCCCCTATCGAGCAACTTGGGAACGATTGGTCGGATTAGAAAAGGATAGTGCTATATATTTAGCAAATGTGTCAACCATATATAGAGATTATATTATCTCTATGATGTCAACACACCAAAACAAACCAAAAATTACGCTGTTTCAAAAATGTGCTCAAAGAGAATGTCACCGGGGCCATCCATCTCACCACCTATGTGTGCAGAGGGTGTATTGCCGCACCTATTTCCAAACTCTTGATTAATATCACACCTAATCATACTATGGGCACAGTGCGAATATCTCCGGTGAAGCGCTTGTTTTTTTTTTAAATCTCATCTCATGTTTTTACATTGATTTACATTTTTTGTTTTATATTGAGTTCAGTAGCTTCTTTGGTTTTCGATAAGAAGGATCAGAAGATTTTCTTAAAGTATTCTTAAATTTTTCAAATGCACATTTTACTCGTAACTTGTACAAAAGCAAGTTAAAAATAGTTTCATTAATTTGGCATTCAATTAATTAGTAAATGAGATGTGAGCTTTTTTGTGAATAAAAAAAAAAAAATTTACGCTGCTATTAAAAAGTCATCACAGCTTTTTAGCACTTGCTCCCCGGTTGCGTTCAAAGTAAGTAAGTATAAGCAGAATTGTGCCAACATAAAGATAAGACGTATAACTTGAGGTGTATTGTTCAGATGGTTTTTAATCTAAAAGATAGAAAATATCAATAAGTAACATTTGTCCTTTTTGAGGGAGAAAATTTACATTATTTATACTAACGTCAAATATCAGAATGGCCATGCATGCCAAGCCCATGAATTCGGTAACGAATAATGGCCCACTAAAAGTATTTTCTATCAATTCCAGATAGCTAAAAAAATTGAATATACGATTATCAAACCCAGTATATTTTTTAGAAGCTTTAAAAAATTGTGTGCTTTCGTATACCTTATGGCCTGGTTGTGCTCTCGTATGGCACTAATTAAATTCGAAACAAGATCATCCTGAGTCAAGTGGAAGTTCTTTCCTCTGGGTTTCATCACGTTTTCCAAACGATACCTGTCGGGGATTGGCAAAAAAATATACGTAACGAAAAAAAAGTATAAAAATAGTCCAGGTCACAATCTGGAATACGTTGAAAAAAACATCTGAGTTCGATATTTTTGCATGATCTTAAGCAAAATGATCTCCTTAATACATATTTGCATGTTTCCAATTCTAAAAGTTGGTCCAAAATTGTTTGACAATCCAAGACCAAAAATTGAATCCAAATACTTTTTCCAACGAATTTTAGTTTTCGACCTGGACTAAAAGAAAAAACTATGTGGGCTGAGTTACCGTGCAATCGCATAGAGAGCACAGACATGCCGAACGTTGGCGATGAAGGTTCTACTAAAGGCCATGTAAGCCAAGTTTATGAGGATCATCGATGAGAAAAAGTGTGCGAAAACTTGGTAGTGTTGGAAAGCTTGGCTAATAATCAAGCAGTGACAGTAGTAGGGGAAGTCGTATGAATAGCCCGTTGACTCGGTAGGTTCGAGGAGTCGTGGCAGAAAAGGGACTAATGTTGTCACTATAAACGACACCACGAGGAATACTGCAAGAATATTTTGATGGGCGATCGTGTTGGTATTTTATAAAGGTATGGTTCATATGGTTATTCGAACCAAGTTATTTTTTCTTGGATCAAATTAATTTTTTACATACGTAAGGACACGACGATATGATCTTGGCCACTCTTTGTGTGCTTCTCGAGAATGGCACGCTCGTTTATGTCGCTTATCTCCCGCCAGTCTTTCAAGATTCGTTCGTACAAAAATTTTGTCTACGTTCAAGAAGAAAAATACTTAATGCCTATGAAGGTGAATAAATTAAGGACAAATAAAAAATAAATAAATAAATAAAGAATTGGAAGGTAATGCTATAGGTTTGATATCAATGAATGAGTATGAGAAATATTTGTTATTTAAACATTTCACAACCATTTAAAACAAACAAAAAATATTTTAAAACAGCAATATTTTAATGGTTATTTTTATGTAAGCCAAATAAAAACACATTACCGTGCTCTGATGTGTGTACAAAATAACGTTATTCACAGTGCCGCCTAAAACGAAAACAAAAATGACCAACGTCTCGAGGATGATTATCACGTCCGTGCTCCATTCCTGCATTAATCCAGACAGCTATTAAGAGACAATTTATAATTAACGTAAGTTTATCTTAGTAAGTAGAGGTGAATGATTAACAATAAAATTTTGTCATACCAGAGCAAACAAGAAAGAAAAACCTGTTAGGGCGAAAATGGTAAAGGTGATGAAATTTTTCATCTTCGATTGATAAGGCCACACACCGCAAACTTGTGCCATGAATTTATTAACTTTGAAATAAGGACCGTCGAATATACTGGTCATATTGGAGAGCAGCTTATCAAATGCTACGACTCTGTTTCTGAACGTCAACTGGTATCTTGACAAAAATTTTATTTCAAATCATTCACAAGTAGCACAAAAACTTCCTTCACTAAAAACTTTAAATCGATGTTTTCTAATAAAGTTCGTTATTTTTCTCCATTAACCGTTGAGGCAATCATAACAAAATTACTTTTTTCTTTAAATGAAAAAGTTTCCCAACGGTCTTAAAGGCGATGTTTATACCTTGCATATTTCATGAACTTGAGTTCAAACAGCATCAGTTTTGTAAATGGGATCATAAAATGTTTCAAGCCTGTGGGTTTAAAAAAGGTAATGGTACGTGGACACGTTCTTAAATAAATTCATTCCAAAATTACGAAACTTCAATTTTTACTTCAAGTATATAATTGTACTCTTATTATTAGAATTAGTCCATAAGAACATGAAGTATTGTACTTTAATTGACTACAATAAAAAAAAAAAAAAACGAAAAAAGTTTTGTAAGTATCGTAATTAAACGTAATGTCGAAAACTATCGACTATTTTGATGAAAGTTGTAACAAAAACTGTTTGAGATTAAATATTGGAAATCGTTGAATAATTTTTAATCCTATTCTTTTATGAACAAAAATTTTAATTTTATTACATGGATAGCCTACAAACTTCGTTAATAGTTTTCAAGATAAAAAATAGTTATCTACTATTTCCAGTTTAGTTCCATACATCTTTACAATTTTCATACTTTCATTGATGCTTCAAACTGAAGATATACATACGAGATTTACGAGATATATGTACAAATTTTTCTATAAATTTCAAATGATTTCCTTTTTTTTAATTAATGAAAAGTTATTTTTACTTTCTAAAAAACTTTACTGATCGATGCCGTAACATTTTAGAAGTATATCGCTGCACCTCGCTGCACCCCCGTAGGATGGATGACTGAGTCGTTTGAGAATAGGAGAAAATAGGAGAAAAATTACGGGGACAAAGGGATAAGATGGTATCATGCAAAAAGTATGCCAGACCCAAAAAACCGCAATTTTTTTTTGAATTAAAAATTACGTTTGTTTTTGTTAAACGGCATTTTTTATAGAGATTGAGGATCCTAAGAATTTTTATTGCTTCGTATTAATTTATGGAAAAAGAAAGAAAGTGGTCAAGAAAAAAAAAAGTCACTTAAAGAAGATACTTTTCGTCTCTTTATTGCAGTTTTATATGCATACAAAGTTTATCTAACAAAAATAAGCGAAGCTGGGGAATACATGCGACATTGTCGTCAAACTAGCCTCTTGATGTTCATTTCATTGTGAAAGTCATCGAGCGACTGCTCCCACCGCTCCTCGAAATACACCGACAGCAAAAACTTGGCGCTCTTGCCCGTCCTTATGGCCCAAGGTAGATGATAATTCAAGTACAGCTGCCTCTGCCTGCCAACAAAAAATAAAATCAACTTATGATTTTGTCGCGCTCCACGATACATTATTACAATCTCGTGTATTAGTTGTTTTCGATGTTACTGACTTTGATTTAAGCCGGGCAGCGCCAAAAATGGCACCGGCCACGCACATCGGTAGCCTCAGCTGCAGGCCCTCGACCCACTTGACCGCGACCTCGCCCAGCATTGTCGTCGGCATCAAAAGCACTGCGTGGAACACGTCGTGCACCTCGCGGTAACGCTGCATCACGTAGGCGAGCTCGATATCATCGACGAACTGCACCGGCGGCCTATCGTCCGGCGACACTTTCTGGGTAACACAAAAAATTCACAGGCCACACCTGCAGGTATTTAAGAGGAGCATTGCGGCCACCTATACTTTGGTAAACGCGTGTGCTCATTCACGGCCCAATTCCCATAGGATGACGGTCAAAGAACTCACATTGACTCGCAAAAAGTCCGCGTAGGTCCTGCCAACCGTGCCCCCGGGCAGGGCTTCCAACCTACCGATGTCGAGGGTGCTGGTGTTGATCCGCGGCTTATTCTCGAGGAGTCGGCGGCCCTCGGCGCTCTGGCTCATGCGCTCGCGACAGTGGACCAGCGCTCCCTCTCCCGTCGTCTCGCCCAGGCAAGCTATCATGTCACCCCGGTACGGATTCGTGATGGAGATGGCGGCCGAGCCCAGGGCTAACATGCCCCGCTGTAGTCGGGACAGCTCGATGTGGTTGCGGCTGTAGGACTCGGTGAAATCTGAGTGCGAGGTGCTGCGCTGGTGCTCGTGTTGGTTCCGTGCAGCACCTGTGGAACGAAATGGGTTACTCTGAGGGTTTCGATGTGGGTGTCCGTTGCGTTTCGAAACCAATTGGGGCAACTACATTGCATGTGCGCACTCTCATTCGTTTTATTAACTTGTATAATAAAAATGTAACAAATAAAAACCAAGCAATTTTTACAATTGTTAATCATCTTCAAGTACTTGAAAGTTTCATAGTCATTAACATATATTAGATGTTATAAGACGTATGAATATCAATTAGTCATAATTTATTCAGTTTTTTTAAAAACTTTTTTCTAAAATATCATTCAAGACGAAAAAAAAGAGGAAATAATCAATAACAGTTATTAAATTTCGTTTCCCCGGCATGATATTTTAAATGCTCATGAGTACTTTACCAAAGAATTTCACTTTTAAATTAAAAAAAAAAAATCATAGGGATATTATATTAAACACCATAACGATAAATACTGCTGTGTGAAATGCTAATAAACCTCACTTGTGCTGATGTTACATTGAATGTGCAATTTAATAAAAATTTTTGTTTTTATTCGCGAACAGGTGCAATTTTAGTTGAAGGTTATAGTTTATGCGTACAGAGAAAGTGATGAAACAGTAAAATCTAGAATATTTTAACAAGTTTGACATTGTCCCGGTGATGACTATGCCAATCCAAACTGTTTGAAATTAAATTTTTCCATCGTCACCATTTCAACTGCTAGACTAAAGCGCTTATCTTATCAACAGCGCGCGGATGCGCCGTTAAATGTATTTGGGCAGATGCGTGCATTAGAGCTCCGAAATAGAATGTTAGAATGTTATTGCTTCAAGAAATTTCTAATTGGTTATTTTTCACTTGTCCATAAAAAGACTCTTTTTCGCTTTTACTAATTGTTGTTTTTTCATTTAATAAATAAACTCTCATTGAATAATCGATATTTTCTGATGATGAAACTACTTGAACAACGAAAAACTCGTTACATGATAACTAAACGAGTAAATATTTGATAAAGCAATTGCTCCAACGAGCAGTCATAAAATTGTTTATAAACTGGCGTGATGTAAAAAGTTTGTATTCAAATAAGAAACAACAAAGACGATTTATGTATATAGCATTTTTATTGTAATAATTTTATTCTTTCATTCCTTTCTTTGTACACGCAAAACAATAGGAACATAATTAAAACTCTCGCGTTTACATAACTTACGCAATTATCTAAAGAAAAAGAAAAACAAATAATTTTAAATAGATCTATTTGGTGTATATCAATGCTGTAAAAAAAAAAGTCACTGTATACTATGGCACGTGTCGTCCAGGTATCAGTAACTTAACTTTGGCTCTAATGACGCACATTATATACCTACAAATAACAAAAACATGTATAAACTTCAAGAGTAAAAAATACTCGAAGGAATGATTAAAAAGAAAAATAAAAAGTAATCCATCAAATGGCACCAATCGTCAATTGCACTACAGCAAAACTTTCTCCATTCATTTTGGCAACATAACATGATTGGCATGACAATTGACTATCAAATGTATGTAAATATTTTTCGGCTGCCAGCTGAGAGCGAAAACAATTGATCACAACTATGAAGTCCCTTGAACATTCAACATCGTTCATAGCCAAACTATGCTGTTAACAACGAAATCACGTGCTCATTCTCTCTCCACTTCGTTAACAAAACTTTGCTCTTTAAAAAAAATATATATATATGTTCGAAGATCACGATTATCGTAATTATTTACAAAAACGCAATTTACAAATGTGTAAAAATGATCTTTTCGGCGATGTGCGCTTATTTGCAGCTTATGCTGAAACAATGACATTTCACTCCTAAGCGAATAAGCACTCAAAGTGACACTCTTACAAAACCAAGCATAAGATCATACATTTCTCTTCAGCGTCTTCAGTTACAAAATAATTATCTTTCGTTTTAAAACAAAAAACCACTCTATTCACCTCGGATGAGTCTAGTAAACGTCGAATCTTACCCTTGCAGCTTAGCTAGAACGCTCGACAAAATAAGAAATCAACTACACGATCAGCAGTCTATTATTGTCCTGCTCCTCCTTGAGGGGCGCGTACTTTGGTTCCACGGGCTCGGCTTTTCTGCGAAAAGTCACCCACGTGTAAATGAGACTGCCCAGGACGCTGAGATTCAGGCCGAAAAAGTTCAGCCACGAGAATACGTAGTCGCCGCCGATCATCATGCCAAGGTACGTGACGGATATGTTCTTCAGACAACCGATGATCGTCGTGGTCAGGGCGGAATTGTAATACGTGCAGAGTATCACGCTATAAGATAGGACGAAACCAAGGAAGCACGACATGGCGAATTGTACGAGGAAGAGGGTGCTCGTCCAGTGCGGGAATTGGACCGATTTGTCGATGTCACCTGTGAACCAGGCAGCCAGTATCGCGGGTACGACCATGAACAGCGAGTTGTAGTACATGAGGCCGTACTTGCCGAGTTCCTTGGAGTCGAGTTTTTGCTTCATGTAGACCCCGTTGGCCGCGGTGAAGAAGTCGTTCAGCAAAATGAAGACGTAGCCCTCGAGGTTGAAGGCCAGATCGTTTAGAGCCGCCAGTAGGGCTCCTACTATCATAGTGTACACGCTCAGCTGAACCGAAGTGTTGGCCTTGACGCCGAGGATGTAGTACTCGCCTATCATGGTCATCAGTATGCTGAATCTCCTGAGTGCGGTGAACATTGGCAGGCTCAGCTGCTTCGTGCCTCCGAGGCCAAAGATCATGTTGCAGATGTAGATTAACGGTAGGGGACAAATCTTTTGGAAGGTTGAACGCTCTAGGCCTGGGAAGTCGATGTAGCCGAGGGCTCGAGCTAAAAAGAGCACGAAGATTGTGGCCAGCATCTGTCCGATGCCCAGGACTTGGAAGGAGGGAAAGTTGAATGAGGTCAGGACTGTTTTGTTGACCACTGTGATCATCAGGGAGGAGAAACCATACCCCAAGACCGAGACCACCTGCATGAAGACTAAGCTCTGCTTGAACTTAAACATTATTATGGCTAGTCCTAATCTATCTAGAATAATAAATACAGGCTGACTAACGGAGCAAGTTATTACTCATGCTATGATTTCGCAGTAAGCTGTAGTAACGATAAGCACTCCATGTTTTTTAGTAAAATCACGCGCGCGTGTGTTTATAACGAGTGTGTTTGCTGTTTAAATGAACCTACACGTGGATAGTGCCAGTTTGGTCCTCTTGACTCTCAGCGACTTTGGTGCAATGCAATGGGTGAACAGTGTCAGCATGATTGTAGCTGTCCCTGATTGCGTGAATCGATGAGGATAACTGATCTTGAATACTAATAAGATCTGAAAAATATAATTTGCGTCATTTTTAAAACTGATTTGTCTAAGCCTTTGGACATCTTTGCAACATTTTTTCTCAACAAACACATAACATTAATTGTTCATAACGTATTGTTGACACACTTTTAAAATAATTGAATTAAAATATAATTCATTCATGCAATTCTTAGGAACCATTAAAACTCTTAAGACATGACTTATCAAAGAATCAATACTGGATGATAAGAATGAAAAGTTCAGATGTTGTAAAAGTGAGTGTTCATGAAGAACCTGATCTTATCTCCAGATGTAACAGAATCAAATAGCTATGTAAACAGCATATAATCGTTTCAAGCTATAAGTTATGTCATGGTTATTTATAACTGGCGTCACTGAAGAATGTTCAATAAATAAACTACTCATCAACCAGGGTAGTTACTTTTTCTAAAAAAAAAACACTTTGAATTGTAAAACTTCTTCATAAGATACTTGCAAACAAGTACTTAACTTTTATTTTTTTCAGTGACAACATCAAAAAACTTCATTTTGGTATTTCATCTTAAAACACAGATAAATCGACAGTCCCTCAAAAAAATGATGAATAAAAATCGCACGAGTTGTACTTAGTGAAATGGATGAAAAAACATTTGCGATAACAATTCAACAGCCTTTTCTCTTAATTTAGCCACGACATGCAACAAAAAAAAAAAACAATTTACAATAAAAGTTTACAAGCTGTTATAATTACTTACCTACTCCTAGACACACAGCCCTGAGATCACTGGTGTTGTCAATATCAGGATTCAAGATCAACAAATGTATCCACACGCGATGACAATAGCATCCGGAGAGATGTTTGTACTTTTTATATCGCAACAGTGAATCGGACGTGCCGACGAGTATGTATTAGGTAGTTTTTGCTGTTCGCGTTGCAACTGTACGTAAGTAAAAGGTACAAGTAACTGAACTACCGAAGTTTCTGCCTTTTTTTTACGTCAATGTCAAACTCGCCCCGCACGTTCGAAGGTTATGTTATGTACTCCCTTCCTCTTCTCCTTCTCTCCTCTTTTCTGGCGCCGGTTGTCTGCTGCAGTGACGAAGACGAATTGAATTGTGTATGTTACGACTTACTTACGTGGATTTTTTTTTATTCCACGCTTTTCCATTAGTAGTACTTAGTGGCATGGAATCTAGTATTAGTTAGTGAAAAAATCTATTGGATACCTAGTTGTAAGTGAATGAATTAAACATAATTGGTAAATGATGAAACCGCTCCGCCCCAGGCCAAATTACCTGCCACTCGGGAGATTTTTCAGTGGCAAGGCTAAAGAGGATAAACGTCTAAAACAGTTAGTACATCAATCATATTTACAAATGATAATTACTCTATGCGTTCGTAGGTATAGCTGAAAGAAAAAAAAATCCTGATCAAATTCCCAGTCATGTTTGCTAGTTTGCTAAGAATATATGTATATGTTTTTATGAATAAGAAGTACTTTTTATATCTGGTAATGATTGTTTTTGCTGTAATCTATTAATAATGTACCCACAGGAGTTCTTTTTTTATGATTCGTTGGTAAAGTTTTGCTTTTGACAATCATCTACTGAATTGATTTTAAATAACGAATGCTCTCCTGAACTGTTACTGCTGTTCAAGTTGAGTATTATATTTTACATTGCAGAGAAAAATGGAATACTGTAGTAGGACTAGAAATACACGCACAAATTTCCTCTCAGTCAAAATTGTTTTCTGGTGCCAGTACAAAATTTGGAACTCCAGTTAATTCCTGTGTCTCTTTTTTTGACTGCGCAACACCAGGAACATTGCCTGTAAGTTTAATTGTAATGAATCAAGATTCTTTGAAAGTATCAACAACAGCACCTTTTATAGGTTTTAAACAGGAAATGTGTTGAAGCGGGGGTGGTAACTGCACTTGCCTTATCATGCAAAATAAATGAGTTCTCGCTCTTTGACAGAAAACATTACTTTTATGCAGATTTGCCTGTAAGTGGTTTTTGTACAAAGCACCCTTGAATTTTATCAAGTTGTGTGCTTATCGCGCAAGACTGTCCAAATTTTTAAATAATATAAAATTCGCACAACAGGCTGGTTATCAAATCACACAACAGCAAAAGCCCCTAGCAATCGATGGTATAGTTAATTTTCATGTATTTACTCCAGGAGTTCACAAAGAGCCTTATTTAAAATCATCCAAATTAAAACAGTTGCAGTTAGAACAAGACAGTGGAAAATCAATTCACGATGGCTCATACAAAATGTAAATTTATTATTAAAGTACGTGAACACCTTTTTAATGATTTTGTCTCGTAACTTTCTGAATTCGATGTTTTTAGGAGCCTAATTAATTTAAATAGAGCTGGAATTCCCTTGATGGAATTTGTGTTTGAACCAGATTTGAGTGATGGGGAAGAGGCAGCTGCTCTAGTCAAAGAGCTTAAACTTATCCTAGAAAGATTAAATACGTGCTCATGTCGAATGGATGGTATGCATAGCAGTAACATAAAAAAAAACTTTTGCTTTCAAAGAATGTATTACAAAGACATAATATTTTAGAGGGAGCGTTGAGAATCGATGCAAACGTGTCAATTAACAAACTTGATGAATCTTTGGGTGTGAGAACGGAAATAAAAAATATTGGAAGTGTTCGAGCAGTTGCATCTGCCATCAATTATGAAATTAAACGTCAGATAAATGAAAGAGAAAAAGGAAATCTTATTGTCAATGAAACGCGAACCTGGGACGTTGTGGCTAATAAAACTGTTCCTATGAGAAGTAAAGAGGAGAAATTAGTAAAAATTTAACTATATTTTTTTTTTAAACTAATTTTTTCAAAAATTTTGGTGTTACTTATGATTTCTTTATTATTAGGATTATCGCTTTATGCCAGAACCAAATTTACCACCACTTTACATTCATTTGGACGAAAATTCGGAAAATGTATTTAATTTGGTAGATGCTCCATATTTAAAAAGCCATATTCCTGAAATGCCACAGGAAACTCGAGATAAACTTGCCACACACTACAAAGTTCACAACGCTTTAATCCTTGTATTGGTTGTATGTACACTTTTTTTTGTTTTAATATCCTGAATATTTAAAAATTACATTAAATATTCACCGGTGTTGTTATCTAGAATGAGCCAGCTCTTTTGGATTTGTTCTTCTATATTGTTGGCGAAAACAAAAAACGAACACCACAAGTAGTTGCTAAAACTTTAGTTTATCAACTTTTAGCATTTTTGTACAAAAACAAGTTAAATTTGGAATTCGGGTCAGAAATATTGATTTTCTTTTTTTTATTGTAAATTAATAAGAGCGTTAAAAGATATTAAAAATCCTTAATTTTTATTTTCCAGTCACGTTATACGAGATCATCTTGGTCAGCTAATAGACCTGTTTGAATCTCAAAAAATAAATTTGAACATATTCGTTAAGGTTTTAGAAGAAATTTCGAAAAATCCTGATAACTCACCTGAACAGGTACTTGATTTGCGTTAAAAAAAATTTAACTTACAAATGAGTAGGTTTCTTATAACTTACGACTTGAACAATAAACTTAACTGAATATGTACTATTTATAGATTATAAAACAAAATAATTGGTTTTTGATCGCTGATGAAGATGAATTAGTGAAAATATGTCAAGATTTGATTGATCATCATCCAAATCAAGTAGAGAAATATAAAAAAGGCAAAAAGAAATTGTTTCGATTTTTTATGAATCAAATTGTAAAAGTTACAAACGAAAGAGTAGATATGAAACGTGTTGATGCAATTCTCCATAAATTGTTAGATTAAGGTACATACTTATGATACTTGTAATATAAAATAAATATTGTTTTTAAATTTTTTAAGCTGTAATTTTAATTGGTAATGGTACTATAGAAATTTGTCAGTACATTATTTTCAGTAGGTAATGAAGACCTTATAATCTGTAGGTACTGAAGAAAAGTACTGTATCAGTCGATAAAGAGGGAATAACATTTTTAGTTGTATGTTATCGTTGGAGTATGCCTAGTCGTTATATTTACTGGTTTTATATAAACAATTTTGAAGTAAAAAAACTCGATCTGTGTATTGCATGTAGAGTTATCGTTGGATTTCATTGTAATGGGTGATAAAATTTTTTTTCTTCACAAAAATATTAATGCTGGAAAATAAACAGTTTTAAATTTGCACGTCATATTGAATAACTAAGATACAAGCTAGTCAAGTATTTTCATATTCCTTGCAATTAGACGTAATTACTACCATTAAAGACATTATGTTAGAATCAGTTACGTCAGATGTTGCTAGATGGCAATACATGGAAAAATACAGTCTATTTTACAATAAAACTTCATTTAATAATAAAAGTCATAATTAAACGTACATGATAAAGTTGAAAAATTTACTCTTAATATTGATGAATAACTATGATCACAGTAAGCGCTATTATTTCTTATAATAAAAATCTTCACTTATTTATAATTAGATATACCTGTTAATAAAAGCGACGTTTACACGCGTTTACATTAAATTTAAAAAAAATTTTTAATGCTGAAGTATTGACTAAAAATATTTAAATCCATGAAATTGAATGATTTTCTAAAGCTGAAGTAAAAAAAAACGTAATACCAACGGAATTTCCCGTGATACATTAATGATGAGGTGGTAGCAATAATTGGTGGCATTGAAGGTTTTTATAGGCTGAAAAACAGACGCAAAAAGATAGTTTTACCTTCTTCTGCGGGGGGCTCGGAGGGGAAGGTGACGCGGGGCGATGAAGCTACTACGCAGCTCTAAATGAGACTATTGTTTAATATAGGATGACAATAGTGGGGCTCAGCCCCCCCGCATGCTTTATGTGTCAACCTGTACACTCGTCATCACGAACGAAATATATCAAGTTTAAATTATTGACTGCCTCGTGACTTTCTTAATAGTTGAAAGGTTTATTCTTTTCTTCCTAAGAATACGAAACAACCATCATTCTTGCATTCCTTTGTCTCTAAGTCCATACGTTTATGCATTGTGGTTTATATATCCCATAGAGTATAATATTATATACCTTCATTTTGTGTCATTTTTTGTGCCAAATAAAGTTTATTTTTTCACATATAATAGATTTAAGTATTTTTTCGAATAATTTTCTTATTTTGACTCTCTCGTACCTAAGTATAATTTAATTTTTGCTCCAACGCATCGATAGTCGCATCTAAATAGATTTCTATCATCGTGCTTTTGTGTTTATTTCCTCTATTTTTTAAAAAAATTTGTATCTATACCTCTGTGTGTTGAAACATTTTTTTATTTTGTACTTGTATCACCGTTTGTATTCGACTGTTTATGTATCCATATGTAGATATTGTGTTAGATAGAGATTTCATATTTTAGTGATCCTATGTTCTATGTATGATCGATAACTAAGTTAACAATAAAAACAAAGCGTTTAAAATACATTGAAAGACAGAAGTAAAACAAATAAATTTTTAATGATTTTGTAAAAATTAAGTTTTTTTTAACTTTCTTATCGCATCAATAAATTTTCTTTGTTTTACAAAATATAATTTTAAGTATAATTTCTCTGTGTGATTTCATACAAACGTCTCTCATTTTAACATTTTTAACAGCTACAACACAAACAATCTCTCAACACAGTAACCAACGTTTATACAAGTTTTATGGTTATTATTGTTATAAAATAGTTAAAGCATTTTAATTTCATGGTTCACGAATGAAACTACCTCCAGTGTAATTATATGGATACAAAATCTACCTGTGCAAGTACTAGTCACATCGGCAAGACGCCCGAGACGTGACTATTGATTTTCAATTCACATTCTTTTTATGTAGAGCCTTACCTCTTCCTTCTTCTACCTCTGAGAAGAAGAAGGCAAAACTATTTTGACTTCCGAGAAATTTCTGCTTGAGTTTACTTGTAAGTTCGTTTTGTTTTTTATTGATTGGGATCACAATTAATTTTCTAAAATGATTAATTTTAAATAGTTGCATGAGAAAGTTAAAATTGGTATAAATTAACTCCGCCTATTTCGTTGTCTTCGATACATTTTTCGACTACTTGTTCTGTCAGCATGAATATGTCATTTTAAAATAATGTACACAAGTTACCACAACAATTTTAAACATATTTAGTAAAACTGAAAACTTTATAAAGTTGATAAATTTGATGCGTAGTTTTGATTACGTCATTTTAGTGTACTTCAATATCGCTTTGTGATAATCGATATCTTCCAAGAAGTCGCAGTATCACGTTCAACGAAACTCATGGCAAATTCTGTATGCTCAAATTATTATTATGATGCAGAAAAACTTGTTTTTATGTAAGATAACTGGTACAAGCTGATCCAAGCGTATGATCCATTATGCTAATAATTTATAATGACGCACGTCTTATGTTTCTTTTTATTTAGCAAATTTTCTAATGTAACTCACTCCTACAATTTTCCATTGGTAATTGAAAATTACGTGTGCGATCTACAAATATTCAAGTCTGAGAAATAAAATTTTATACTACTACATTTACATATAAACCTGAAAATTGTTAAACATTATAAATTATCTAATTTAATCAAAACAGTATTGATGTTGATATCTGTTTAATTATTATTGAAATTTTTTATCTTCTTCTCACATATAATAATTTTTCACTTATTTCGACTCCTATATACAATTACAGTACCAAATCAACGTAATGTCCCTTACACGGTCAATCGTATATATAAAATTGATACAGCACTAGGCGTTCCACAGAAATACTCCACCAATAGAAAAACACACATATACCGAAGCCTCACGTAAACGTGACTCGTTTAGCCCGACAAAGACTATTCGTTGACATTGGATGGGGGATGTCGACCTTGAGCCATGAAAACCTGCCCCTATCACAGGAACCCCATAATCCTTACTTTCATTCAGTCACATCACTCGTAACAGATATTGCGTTTTCCTATCTGGTACCTATACGAAATAACGTGATTTCATCTTACTCATACACACGTATAGATTGAAAGGTCTGTTAAGTCGTAGTACGTACACACATATACAACAAGATAATGAGGTGGTAGTGAGGGTCAGGCTTTCACGGTTAATCTTTCCCTTTTGTGTAGACATATGTATACATATATGATGTACAACAGCAGCTCTTGACTGCGCGCATGTAAGTGTACAATCCACGTATAGAGAAAAAGGAGGGTCGAGGACAGCTCTGTGTAATATATATTATACGTGCAACGTAGTACGACCCCCTCCACGTTCACCCCTTGATTTGCTCTTGGGGATGAAATGGAGCAGAAGGTGGGAGGTACAACATAGCGAGGGGCCGAGGGGTAAGGGTGAATGAAATAGACGGGGACGGAAGATGTGTGCTCAGCTGGTGGAGAGGGAAATAATGCTCGGGAGAATTTTCGTCGTGGCCTGAATTCGAGTTTGGCAATGTACATGTAATAAAAAATATATGGGTGCATACAGTACGTGGTACGTGTTTCACTCGGAGATTCGTGAATCGTGAGGTGGATCGTAGTTTGATGAAATTTGAAGGTTTTTTTTTTTTAGAATTCAATACGTCCAATAGGTATACAAGCGAACGTCGATACACTTTAATCATTGTATCAATAGGCGCATATGCATAGAGGTTTTTTTTTTATTTCAAGGATCTTGTGAGATTGTAGAACGTTTGGACGTAAACTCATCGTTTATCTTTCAAATACAGATTTTGCGGTTTTCTTTAACCTCTTGCCATGCAAGAGAGTAAGGGGAAAGGTTCGCAAGATTTTTATGTCTTACTTGGCTATTAATTGAGCTTGAAAATATTGAATTTCATTTTTCTTCAATGAATGAGTCCTACATTAGGACAATAAAAAATTAAAAGTAAAAAAAAAATTCATAAAAAAAAATACTTATTTTATCATAAACATGAGGTGCGTAAACATATTTTGCACAAGACAATAGTAGAACCATAGTTTATTGTCAATGATAATTAATAGGAAGATAGAAATGGTCAGTACAGTGTTGGAAGAATCAGTAAAGGAAGATTTAGGATTTAGTTGAAAAAGAAAAAAAATATATTAAAAAATATACTAAATTAAAATATTACGGATAATTAAGATAAAAGGAATAAAGTGAAAAAAGAAAGGAACAGATTTTTAGAAAAAATTTACTTTTAATTTTATTATCTTTAATTTTGACTGTAGATATGTGAGATAAAAAGTTAGAGGTACATAATATAACCTTGAAATAAATCTCTTTATAAAAAAAAATTATTTTTTGACGTACTATTCCATTTTTATGTTGTTTTTGAAAAAATTCGACGAAAACAAACATTAAATAATTTTATTCCATGTTGATGAAAAAAAAATACTAAAAAGTCAGTAAAAATTGGTTGGCTCTCACTTTTTAATATTGAACATATGTTTATGAACAATTGTTCGCGTTATTTTACCGAAGATTAGAAAAAAATTCAATACTATTGTAAAGTTCACACACACACACGCGCGTGCATATAAGCTTAAAATAAGTTTTTTTCAATTTCATGCATGAATGTAATTAGATAGATCTCATAATTATTTCGATCAATTCGGATTCAACTGCAGATTTATTGGTGTTTTACTTCACTAGCTTGCGTTCCGCATAGATACATTTAATATAAACTTATATTGTATAAAACTTCTTGTCTAGTTATTTTTTTACAAGAATTAAGTAAATCAAACATTATCACTCTATTTTTTTTTCACATCACACGTACGAAATGTTAAGCATTTAATTTTTTTAAAAATCTTTTAAACAAACCGCTTGATCCGTCTCTCAGTTCTTAAATTTTAAAAACTAGTAAAGTTTCCTACGTTATTCATTCTTTTGTAGAAAAATTGTTCACACACTATTATTTTTAATAGAATAATTTCTTAACATTATGCTTTTAAAAGCACTTTGTTCACTAATGATTTTAATCAAAGAAGCATAATTTTTGGTACTCATATTTTGTTTTACGCTTTAAATTGTCTTAAGTAGTGGACAAAAAGGAAACATAATTTATACAATTTTTTTATGTGTTATATTATGAGCAAGTATTAATAATATTTATGAAAGATAACCCTTGTACTTACAAGATAAACAATGTAACATAGTTATAAATTACTAAATTAGTTTTTATCTCTTTCAAACTGCACAGGTTATAATGTCCATGATTTTTATCAAATAAATTCAATGCATTAGTGTCAATTTAGTTGAACAAATTCCTAAGTAATTGGGTAGTTTAAGGACGTTCATATCATGTAGTTTTTCTGATAGACGTTGTTGGAACTTTGAACGTACATTCGTTATGCCATAAAGGTATCTCCACACTCAATTTCAGATCGTTGCTCTGTACAGTTTTTTTTAGATATTTTATTAAAAAAAATCTCAATTAAACATGTAACCTTATGAAAGAATCACGTAAGGTTTCATTTATAAGCAAATGATCTGTTTAGAAATCTATCAATTTTTTTGTGTGGTAGAACACTATTAGATGAACATTATGTTGAATTTTTAAATAGATCCACTGGTTTGTTTTTTAATAAATTAAGAAAGAAGGTGTCGAGTACGTGTAAAAGCGTATATACATATAGGTGTATTTATATACGAGAAAAACAATTTCCAGTATTGTTGCATGTTTGCTCTCCCCTGTTTTCATCATCCCCTTGCCCCTTTGAATCCCCCCCCCTTTAAGTATGATGACCGTGCTAAAACTGATGCAGGATTTTTTTGATGCTGAAATTATAAAACCAGAATCCTACAATCAATTATTATATATATATATATATATTGAATGATTGACTGACGAGAATTTACCAACATAAGAAATAAGAAAATCCTATTTTATCGGTCACCGTAATTTTGAGCGTCGGTTTTGAGTCAGTGTAGCATTTTCCATGAGTTTACAATTTAACAATAAAATTTAAATTCATTATATTTATTGAAACAACACATTTTTTTTTTTTTTTATTAATAATCATTAAAAGAAACATTAAAATTGAACAAAAATCGTGCGCACAAAATTACTTTCATTTTTAAAAAGGTAAAATAACGGGACTCATTTGAAAAAAAATACTCGCGGTTCCATCAGTACAAAATTTTTTTTTTTCAATATTCGTAATCGATGCCCCAGTAATAAAAGATTGCGTGGTGAAACTACAAATAATGTCCCATTTGTGAGGGTAAGTGGAATGCATTAGCGATGTGCGCACATATACATGGATAAACGAATGAAAAAGCATGCTTTTGGCCACCCAACGTCAGGCAAGAGAGGATGCGAGCACTTAAGACAGAATGATTTTGCGGAGGTTGCATGCAAATCTCATCCGTTTATACCTTCGCATCAGGCTACAAGAGGTCTGAAAGAATGAGAGAGAACTATTGTAACAAGTACAAAGAATAAAAAAGGATGGCTAGCTTCAAAAAGAGAAAGAGTGACAAGAGAGCTCGAGAGGATCAAGGGGAAAGGAGAATTCTATGTCTAAGAGGAGGGGGGAGCTAAAAAATCAATGAACAGTCCATGTGCACTTACACACACATGCGACTAAGATACTGAAGTTACCATGAGTACCACAACCCACGTGATCCACGTCATAATTAATCGACATAACATATTATATACATAAATAGTAACTCTAGTAAGTCGTAAAAATTTTATTATTAAATTATACACACTACAGCCAATACTAGCTAGGTAAGTATATCTATACTATAATACGAGGTATAGCGATTTTGTGTATCAACATTGGAAAATCAATGGTACCCCCGCCACTCGACCATACCGTACTGACGTTGGCGTCCCGCCTCGAAGTGAACCAATCGCAAGTGAGCCCAGCAGCTCCCACCTCGTGACTCTCTTGGGGATGCCTAGAGCTCTTTGCCTCCCACCCCCGATGACCGAGAGCAGCTCGAGCAGCTTGCCGCCGGCGCGTGCTCCCATTCCTGATCAGACGATCGCCCAGCTTGGACGCATCTATCCACTCCAGATAACGAACCTCGGCTGTCGATCGATATTGCAAAAAAAAAAAAAAAAAAAACAATAACGATAAACACCATCGCTGTACGTAATACGTATACGTTAAAAAAAAAAAAAATAATAATAAAAAAAAAATAAAAAAATAAAGTTAACGACTCGATTCGCGCTTAAACGAAAACTCGATTAAAAGCAACATCTCGATCGCGAGTAATATAATAAATTCAAGTACATAAAGAAAAGTAAAAAAAACAGTGTCAGATCGAAATAAAAGGCGCGGTGGCGAGAATCGTGTACTATAATCATCGTCGTATTGAAAAACCCGGAGGGTCCTTAGCCGTCGCGGACGATTTCTTACAAAAATAGACATCTGAGCAGAGCAGAGAGAAGAAGAAATAGTAGAAGGCTGCAACCGGAGAGTGTATCTTAAGCGGCAACAGTCACGGCTAGACGAGCACCACCGGCGCCAAGAGCAGCCTCAAAAACGGAGCATCGCCGAGGCGCCGTCGTATCAACACCGCAGCTTGCACCAGCAGCTGTAACGGCAGTTGACAGCGCAACGGGTGTCATCGACAGTTTCGTCGGGGACGTGCTGGTTGTATCGCCAAAAGCGGAGAAACGGTGACCACGCGCCACCACCGCTACCGAGGAAGCTGCTGTCGAGCCTTTGACTCCTTGGGTTGTCGTTGTTCCTTGTCTTGTTTCTTGTGCCCACGGGTCAACCGTCAACCGAGCCGAGATGGCGTTCATGATGCCAGTGGTTAAGAACGAGTGGGACATCTACAAGACGAACCGTAGCAGGCGCTCCTCGGAGTGTTCTAATCCCCAGGCCTGTCGCAGTAGAAAGGTAAGTGCGTTGCATCATTTTTTTTAACAATTCATCATTTGAATGTCTCCCCTCCTTTTGGTCCGAAAAAGTTCGTTAATTTAACCGATCAAACGAGTGCAAAGGTGTACATGACTGGTGTTTCAGTCACGCGTGTGCACAGCTGCTAAAGTATGGATGCTTCTCGAACTTTCTGGAGTTGGTTTCTTTATTCATGAGTACTTTAGAATAATCCACGTGGATTGGCTGTCGTTTTGCAGCTTTTTTCTCTCGAGTTTTGTGATATGATGCAACATTTCTGTAGATACGATCGATTGCTTGATCCACGTAGTTTGTTGCAAGGTTCAAGTATCCAAAATCATGAAAAATTTGACGAGTATAACATTTTTATTAATATCAAGCTTCACGCGGCTGATGCTACGATGAAACACCATTAAAAATTATAAATTATTATACCATATAATGACGAGTTTGGTACGTCCACGTACTTCGATAAAGTAAACATTCAATATTTACGCTTTATCTCTGAATAATCAACTCTATATTTACAAATGCGTTGACTTTATCATATTCACTCGAAAATTATTTGAATGTTATGAATACATAATATTTTGTAGCGTTTATCACGTCGACAACGAATTTCACGCTTCATTCTGTTTTATCAAGTTGTACGTAAATATTGTTCAATAGTTAATGTACTTTTAATGTGCATACAAAAATGGTATGTGTGACGCTTATGAAAGATGATGATTAACGTTAAAAATACTTTGGATTTTTTTTCCCCCAAGCACACAAATATAACCGTTAGCTTTGCCGAATCACTAACATTGACTCGTATTCTGTGTGACGTCAAATGAAATAACATACACGTACGCCCACACACATGTGCACTATAGCGCCACCAGCTCTCTACATTATATATATATGCTTTTCCGTCTTAAAGAAAATGAAAAATCGATGGCATTCAAGAGCGTCTCGCGGCCGTATTAAGGGGCACGTGACGTTGTGGCGACTATTTAGCAAAACAAACTTTATTTTTATAAATATCACTAACATATGAGAGATACATAAAATAAATATACAGTATTCGTGAAATATAAGATTTAAAAAATTGTTAAGAAAAAAAAAGTTTGTTTAACGTACAGAAAAGAATTATCTTTATTAAATCTTTAACAAAATCTTGGATAACATCAAAGTGCCCCTATGTATCGTTTTGATACTTATTATTACTTGACACCAAATCAATGAATCGTCTTAATTGAATGATTATTTTGAAGTAAATCCAAACATTTTATTTAATCAGCGATAGACGTGGGTAACTAGGACTTATTAAAAATCAATCAGCACATTGATTAATCAACGTAGTGTGTCCTATATCCTTTTATATATGAAGTTTTGCAATGAAGGTGAACCATCTTGTAGTAGTCCAAACTCTGTTTACTTAATTGAATTTTTGCATATTTTTATATAGGAACATAATACTTATTCAATTATTCAAATTTACGAATATGCAACAAAAAGATGTAGTTAACCACGAGGATACATACCATGCCAAGAAATGGGTAACTCGAATCATTTCAGAAGTTTGTTCAGATGGAAAATTGAAAAAAAAGGAGAATGCTACAGATTTGTGTTACAGAGTTGGGGTAGTTTGTTACTTAAAAGAAAAACTTGCATAATTGATGGTGCTATACAGATTTTATGGGTAAGATATAGTACAAAGATGAAAGTAGTACATTACGTCACTGGGACACAAAGCAACATCATGAGCGCCCAAAGGGCGTGGTGGTTCTATGTTTGTCCCAAGTCGCGTATGCTGTTTTTTTTTTTTTTCCATAAGCATAAAGTGAAATTGCCACTTTGTGCCCTTGTAATCACTTTTCTGCCCTTGGGCCTAGAGAATATTACTGGGTGCAAAGTGTGCCCATGGGCGTGAAATTGTACTTTGAACCCTTGGTAAGAAAAAAATTATTCACGACTTGGATCTAAACATATTATAAACGCGCCCTGCGGGCGCTCATGTTTGTACTTTGTGCCCTAGTAACGTAATGTACCATTTCTTACCTCGGGCGCAAAGAGAAATTTTGAGCCCGTAGGTGAACTTCGCGCCCAGTAATTCACTTTGGGCCCACGTGCAGAAAAGTTTTTTGCGCCTTTCGTAAAGTAGCAGCTGCACTTTGTTTCCATGACAAGAAATGGTAGTTTTCTTCAAAAAAGTGCCGTCGCTTCCAGGACTTTTTTGCGGTCCAAGGATCCTACGAAGCAGGCCCGAAGGACCGTAAGGTAGCCCCGGATAGGTAGGAAAAATAAGACAAAAAAGTATTGACAAAATCTTGGTTTGTTTTTTTGGAGTAGACAGTCAGGTATATATTTATTTGATTGTATAATAAAGTTAAAGAATGTTTTTATCTACAGCTAAAAGAATAATCTCATAAGAAAAGTTTTTTCTGTTTTTGATAACTCCTAACTGGAGTCTTTATGGAACCGCTTCCATAATCGTGTTAAACACGCACGTCAGTACTTGTGTGAGGGAGTAATATTATAGGTACTTAACGATATTAATGAACAGTTTAGCCGTATGACAAAAAATTACAGACATTACGGTGGATATTACAGTGTTGAGCATGCAGCAAACTACATAATATCGGCTCGTTGAGCGGGACCCTTAACATGCCACTCTAATGTTGAATCCCGCATTACCCACGGAAACTATAATTGCAACGACTGACGTCACGCTCTCCAGGGTTACAACAATGTGCGTTTTGCAGAACGATTCTCGTGCGCATTTTAATACGTATGTTCCTACATGGTGGGCGCGCACGCGTTACTGACGCACGTCCGATTCATTCCTTGTCTCTCTTATTGTTTTTCGCAGTGTCAAAGTCAACGTTTCATTGGTCCCGCGGCACTGGAAGAGATAGAACCGGTTGGAACGGGATCGGGTGGGTTTAGGGGCTACTTGGTTTACTTACTGAAAATCCTTGGGTAAAAATTTAATCTCAACCAGACTTGTGGTCTCTCTGATTACCACCAGTCACGCACAACATATAGTACGGAGGGTTAGAGATCGCGCCTGTCACGGAAGAGGAAAGCAATACAGGCCGATTGAAGCCAATTTGGAAAAATAGGGGACCTTGGTGGGAAAATTCTAATTTCTTCTTGTTTCTCCCGATGGAAAAGGTTGCCCTGAATATTGACCGACGTGCGTGAACGATTAGTTAAAGATCTTGGTCGGTGGATTTGATTAGATTGATTGTACTCGCTGGAAGATAATCTAGAAGGGATTTCTACTAAGATTCGTTTTTTTAGTAAATACAATTTTTAAAAGTATTTGTTACATCCAAAAATAAGAACAATTTTTTAAAACTATAAGAATTGATTGCCAAGCTTCATTTATATTATTTACTCATATTTATGAGCATTAAATGTAACCAAAAGAACCCATTCATTATGATAATAACATCGTCGTCATTAGAGAAATTGCTGGTTGCCAAATTAAAATTTTATTACTGAAAGTTTTGAGTGGGTATACTGACTCTAATACAGGAAATTTTGAATAAGCAACAAGAAAGAAGAAGAAACATGTTATTTAAAGGTGACCATTGGCTATGTAGTAATTTTTTCGTGCCATATTGTCAATGGTTTAAATGTGACGCCAAGTCTTCATTATATCATGAGGTAATATAAAGTCATTCACCATATGTTGACAAATCATTTAGGTATAAAGTGCACAATATCCTTGGATGTACACATTTGAGGGATATTTTCTCTGTACTTAGATCTCACTGTTCAAAGCACTCATTGAGAAGTAGTGTATGTGCAGAGATAACAGACACACATGTCGTTCACAGCATCACTTGCCTATAACCTACATTTCATTCGAACACCCAATAAATGGTCAGAAAGTGTGCGTCGAACTTCCTATTGAGATTCTACAATGCCATCAATATACACCAACACGCACTTGCTTATCTATTTTATGAAAGATTATATCATTCGAATCTTTCTTTTGAGCGTGGTGGTGTATACATACACGTGCACTTAAAATTATCAGCGAACCACACGTGCGATAGGCAATAATATTGATTTAAATAATACTGAATACACGTGTTGTAACAATAAAACTTTTTATGTTTCATCATCCAGATTGTTCCAGATACGACTATTTAGATGTAAAAAAAATTTTATTTTGTAGACCTACGTTATTTGAGGTTATGTTTGCAATACTACGCATAATGTAAAAGTGAATAAAAAAAAAAAAAAAAATACGAAAAGTAATTTCTAGTAAAAAAATTTAAAAACAAGTCGGACTTGATTTTACAATTGACGAACAATAATCGAACGAGTGCATTCTTTGGATAATCAACGAAGTCTCGGGATTTTAAAGTCTTAAAAACAACATTCACGCCCCGAAATGATAAAAACTTGTAAACAGATGAGTTGATTCATACGCAGTTTACAAATCTCTCATTCATGCGCGTACAGTACGTATGAATCATTGTTCAAAAGCGTGAGTCTATAAACTAAACATAACCGTAAATAACTCGAGTGACCTCGTTGGAATGGCATCCATACTCAAAGCAAATTATGTATCTCAGAAAAATGGATTGCCACATTTTGAAGAAATGGTTAGTTAAAATTTGTTTTGAAAACAACATCACCTTATTTTCATGCTGCTGCAGGTGATAAACAATACAATCTCTGAAAGATTGTATGATTAAAATCATTGTAATACGAAAGATGTACGAAATTTTTCTCTCCAAGAATGACTCGAACGTATCTCACGATATACCTGGTACTTTTCTTTCTTCATTTCGATCACCCAGAGCGGAAATAGCGATGACGCAGATACCGCCGCCGTAAATAATAAATACCAATCCACTCGAAGATTTGTACACACTATCACATTTCTTTGAAGACGTACCGGAAACGCACTATGTACCCCTGAATCTTTTAAACTTGAGCATGCGCGATATTCACTTTTCGTTACTTTTTTCGCTAACCCTGTACTGCACGCAAACATCGAGTTATGCAAGTATAGTCTAGCTGTATCGGGCCTGGATGGTAGTATTACGCTTCGAAACCGTTCTCTCTTACCTTTGCGGACACTTTAACCACTGTTGGGAAATTTTTTTTTTTTACAGCCTTCGCTCTCGGCTAATACCTAATATGCCAGACTAGCAAACGTTTTACGTGGTTGAAGAGATTTTTCCTTTTAAGAGCCGACAAAACGCGTGCAAAAAGTTACGCTTCACCATACCGAGCTAAAATGTAATTGCTTAGTGGTTCTATGGTGATCTACACTGTGCTGTTTTACTTGCCGCGGTTAATGGTTATTTTTTATTTCCAAGTATCACCCCAGAAAAGTTAAGCAACTTTCTAGACTCAATTGTAGACGCTCGCTTTGGACCCGAGTGTTGAAATGCTTTTGGTTCAGAGTTGTAAAGAGGCATTATCTCGTTTCCGTAGCCGATTAAATTTATTTTTATCTGAAAACGGTCGACCCGCTCGAACATCATGTGCACTGAAAATACTTGTGGCTGTAAGAATTAACTCGAGCTCTAAAAATACATTTTAAGCCCCCTCTCTAAATGTAAAAAAAAAACCTCACAACTGCTAATACGAAAATTTGGAAAACTTTTTCGCCAATGTTCACCTTCGGGAAAAGCTTTCATTTTTATCTTATTTTATACAATTTTTTTACAAACGTTTAAACATACCTTATAATATTATATAAATATGTTATACAGATTTAGCTAATGAAATTTTTTTTTTGCAAGAATTACATTAGAAATTGGTATACACTGATCAGAAATTAGAAATACACTGATATCGAGTAAAATATTCTGTAATTTTGTATTTGAACTAAATCACACAGTATCTTATAACAGTATTACATCCATACATACGCTCTGTGCATAAAGTTGGGGGTAAGAGCTGGCACTGGGTGTTGTTCACCGGTTGGAACTAACCTTCTTTATACAGTATCATCAAGAATGACTCGGAATGACTATGAAGGTTAATGACCATACTTGCACGGAGCGAATAGATAGTAATACATTCACGTGTTTGTTTATAAGCAAAATTTCGGCTACTGTTTCACACGCCATCAAGCTATCTAGAAAGTTTCCAAAAGATCTTTTTCATGTAACGATTGTCCTAGATTCAAGAAGTGTTATTTTTAAAAGTTGAACGAAACAATGCAGTAATACTTTATAATTGGCTTTCTCCATATTAATGTTTTCTTTCGCCCTGGACGCTATGGTTATTTCCCATCCCCTCCAACTGCGTTCTAGTAGCGAACAACGCGGGATCGCCAAACTTCGCCACAGGGTTTCTGCAGCTCGTAAACTCGCGATTTTCTCTTCTCCTTATTGCGAGTGGCCGGTTTCCTGTCTCGTGAGCTACAGGTATACATATACACTTACATTCGACGTATCTTGGCTCGGCTCGCGATAGAGTTTTGCAAGGCCATACATACCCATAGTCTCCCGTTGGCGCCTGATTTTCCAAAGTGACTCTATTTTCCTCCTCCCTCTCTTTCACTAACTCGTCGAGTTATTACGTTGGCGACGACGCGACGCCACGCCGATTTTGTTGCACAAGACTCCACGCGAGAGGTTTTCATGCAGCTTTGTATGAGTGCGTATACGTGTACACGGCATCGAGGCCACGAAGAGCGAAGGTCCACAGTTTTACGACGATACGCCATTCCTGTCGGATGATCATCGTCGCAGCTGTTGCTATTATCAATATCCCCCCGCCGACTGTTTTCACTTACCACTTTTATCGGGCACGAAGTTATTACAAACACGTGAACGTCGACGATATGTATTAGGTACCATGATCAAAATAATTCTGGTCCAACTATGCATGAATCATTTTCAGTCTCGTCGAATGAGATTACTGGTGGCGATTGCGTGGTTGTCATGTTGTGAATCTCTTTTTTGTTTTTTTATTATCTTCAAAACAAACCAATCGATATTAGGCATGCGAATGAATGATACATCTTTGGTTTTTAGTCTTCTGCATAAAGTATATATGGTGACATTTGATTTTTCCAGAAAAATGCGGTCTTGATGCCGGACTGTATGATAAAACGTATGTACGACTACTACACGTAAAAAACTCTACATTACATCGATAGTGCTTTAACAGAGTATTATTATCATTGTTTACAGTATTGCCTTAATTACCATCGAACAATAATTTTTCATTAACAATTGTGTATGTCACATCATCCGTAGGGTATAACTATTATAACAATATATCATCTTCAAAGTGCATTGACAGAAAAAAATATATGCTTTTTTTATTTAATGTCAGTCAAACAGCTAAAGAGAAATTACGCATGAATACGTCTCTTAAACGTAAGAAGACAATCTTTGACGAAAATAAAGCTGCTATTTCAAAAGTCAATATTTCACGAGTAATTTCAGAAATAAAGTCGGGAACAGGAAACCTCATTTTACCACAAATGTACATGCAAGCTACAAACCCATTAAATATCGAATACATCTCAATATTTGTAAAATTGGTTTAAAATCAATTACAAAAGTCACAGAATACTCAATAAAATCAATAAAAATACTCTACGAGTTTTCCTGATGTTTTGACTGAAGTCCTCTATGAATTATGACCAGAATCCCTAGGGACACTAGCAGTAACGATCGATCAGGGCTACCATAACCACAAATAAATAGTACAGTAACACGACATAATCAACTATTCAGTAAAACTATGACTGTTTTGTGTTTAGTAAGAATAAACTTGTTCAAGAAATCATTTTTTCCGCTCAACAAATTTACGTACAGTTAAGTAGTGGAACCTTGATCAGTTCATCTGGTTTTTTAAAGTGGCTCCTCACTGAATAATAACACTGAAGAATGCAATGATCGTCTGAGGGATGGTTTATGAAGGTACAATAAGTCTTCTCCCAAAATTTCAGACCCCGTTACCACCGCAATTTTTGAAAAAAAGCAACTTGAAAATCGACTTCATAACTTAGCCTCTTATGGAGGATCAAAAAATGTATGTCGTAAGTTTTATATCTTAGCAAAAGTACTGCAGTTATTAATTAAAAATGGGGTATCAGATAAAATAAATCATAATCTTCCTAGTGATATTCAGCTGTTTGGATGTTACCATGAAGTTTTTGAGATATTTTGTGAAAATAGTGAATAACTGTAAGTCACAGGGGGTAGAGCGTCTGCTACATCGAAGAGCAGAGGCAGCAAACAGACGCAGTAGCCAACTAAGAAACTCCACAGCCAATTACAAGTGATGTTATACAGTGTCTAGACTCTTCTTATAGACCCATAGTGAGGAGCCACCTTAATAAATGTGATGGATATCACGTGACTCCAGAGTAACCATAAGTTACACTAGGTATTATTGACCGTGTATTGACTCATGGTTAGTTCCCGTACGCATTTGACTCGTCACCATATGGTATCATCTATGCTAAGCTTTACGCCATTTATTTTCCATTTTACCATGTATGAATTCCAATCCATCTACAAACAACTCTTCATGATCATCTGAAAAGATAACAGAGTATACAGAAGCGCGTCCTTTAAACAAACGTTTACTTTTAACCTTGCATATATTGCGGATTCTTGAGTCGATGGAGTTGACAAATGAAAATTAAGATTCATTGAATATCACTTTGCTTGTGCTTTCTACTTATGTATACCTTTGAACTTTTATATTAATCCATATATTATAACTTAATGTGGTATAAAGAATGACAACTCAAAGTCGAAATATCGGTCTGCTTTTGTGTTCACAGGTCTCGGAATGCTCAAAGTCAGAGGGCCCGTCGCTGTCGACCTCCCCAGGCTCGGACTTCCTGACGTCACCGGCTCATCGTTCGGTGCCACTGAGCAGCCGTCACTTTTCGCGCAACTCCTCGCGCGCCTCCCAGAGCTCGCTCCAGTCGCCGATCAAAAGTACCGGATCCTCGCCCCCAAAGACAGGAAGCTCCAATTCCCTAAACAAGTTCCACAACCGGCTCGTAGACAAGCTGAAGCGGTCATTAAGACGGGCCGAGGACAGTACCGACGACCAGCGCAACCTGTCGTGAAACAATCAAGGGGTTTTGGGCCGACCGCCGCCGTACGGCTCGAAACCGATCGACATAAGACGCACCTCGGCACCCCAGACGCTCCTGACGCCACTCAGCGCCAGAGCCGTCACATCTGTTGCTGCTACGGCCTCCTCATCGCCCACCGTGAACAGCCCCCGCTGTCACAGTCAAGACCACCGCCTCCGCCAGAACCACCGCAATAACGTTGACAACAAAAACAACAGCAACAACAATCAGAATCGTAACAACAACAATAACAACAACAATAACATCGATAACAAGTATGACAATAGCGACGACGACGACGATGACGACGACGACGACGACGACGATGATGATGATGATAATGATGATGATGGTGACGAGGAGGAGGAGGAGGAAGACGATGCCGATGACGATGACGACGTCGTGGTGTCCCACTCGTGTCCAAATGCGTCCGCCTGGTAGATAAGTGGACGAGTGCCGCAGTAGCAGCTTCGGGAAGATTGATGCGTAAACGCACTCCCGCTCTCACTCTCTCTCTCTCCCACTCTCTCGCTCTCTGTCTGCTCATGATGCTGTTCGTTCGCAACGATGACGATGGAGCACAGCCTCTCGTGGCAGATGATGTGGGGAACGGTTTATTGGCCGGCTCGGCGTCCTCGTGACTGATGGTTCCTTGTCGCTCCGCGGAAATTATCGGCCGATTATCTAAGCAGTCGATTTTTTGAGGGGCCGTTTGGAATACGGAATAAAACAGAATAAATAACATCGCGCGTCTGTTTCGCGGTCCAAATTAAAAAAAAAAAAGAAAAAAATAAATAAAAAAAAAAAAAATATTAAAAAAAAATAATAACAACAAAACCGTGAAACGACGTAAAGAAGTCACAACAGGATGTCGAAGATGAAGAAGAAAAGCAGAGCTTGGCAAAGAGGAAGCCCGGCATGTTTGAGGATAAAAGTGTCAACTATCAAATGATGATGGTCTTGATGATTGAGCCCGAATGAGGTGGAAGAAAAAATTGAAAGTAAGAAAAAAAAAGGAAAGAAAGAGGAGGATTTCCAATCAAAGGTAAATGATGCTTCCTTCACAATAACTGGAATCTGCGACAACGAAGAGGGAAACAATGATGATGTTTTTGTTGGTTATGGGAGAGATAATGAGACGTACTATTTTTTGGATGATGAACAATTTTAAGATTAACCACCTACGATCAACTTTTCGATTTAAATTGCCAATCCCATCGTATTCGAAAATAGCCTCTCGCGGACGGGTCGTAACCCTGTAGATGGCGCTATGTCTGCACTTACGTTTCTCGATCGGTAAGAGAATAGACTTTCTATTGCAGTTTCGGTTACGATTCTTAACTTAAGGATTCTGCTTCGTGATCTTAGAGGTTATTATACTGACGGTATTTTTCCAAGCTTTTTGGATTTTACAAACGAAACTGTTATAACTACTGAAGAAAGTCGATAAGTTACAAACAAATATTTCCTACGCACCACCACCATCACCGTCACTACGAAATTTCTTCTTTGGGATTTGATTTTTGGCAATAGAAAATAAAATAGACCAACCGCAGTCTCATCTCGATCTTCTTCCCCCGACGAGAACTTAGCCATAGTACCGATCAGTATCTCCTCTACTTTTATCCAGTTATAAGCAACTCACTGAATGGTCATCAGATTGGATGTGCGATCCTCTCGCCAAAATATAACCACCTCCACACAAACCAACACATACCAACCAAAAATAGGAGAGAAAAAGCGCCAAGAGCCAAATACTCGTGTTCGATGACGATTCGTTAAGGTTGCGGTACTTATAGTAAGTAAATGTATTAAACGTCTGAGACGATTTTCTTTCGTCTACATCATTACTTGAATCAATAACATTGTTCATCTTAAACTATTAGTGGTAGATAAGATTTTTAACTAGGATTACGTATAAATCTATAATCGTTCGACAATATAACATGCGACTTGACCTGATCGTTTTTTCAAGTAATTCAAATGTTTACCTACTAGAAAACTTAGAAACACAGACATTATTTGTAAACGAATCATTTGAAACGAGTAATTGGCTCCTTGTAATCGATGAAAACAAAAATTAAGAGCTTTTTTTTTAATTTTTGACGAAACCCCTTGATCTTTACTCGACTATTGCTCTTTTTTGAAGATTAACAGATGGGAAACAAAAATGATTGAACAAAAATTCTACGTAAAGCAATTAAAGCAACTGCACATGTTTTGCAGTGTAAACATAAAATACGAGCAACGTTGCTAAAGTTCAAGGCGGTCGTCGAAAATAAAAGCGTCAAGTTGTCAGTGAGGAAGATTCGATTTCTCAGAGTTTTCAGGACGGATGCTACTTGCCTATAGTACTTCTTTTGTTCAATCGACTCTTTACTTAATTGCTGGTAGCTATTAAGATCGCGTGCAACAATATTATCAAAGACGCGAGGGACTGAAGACGAATAAAAAGAAAAAAAAACTTATCACGTTGTTTTAACTTTAGAATGTTTCGAAGGAATCAGCGATCATTGAAAGAAAAGAAAAAAATAAGACCAAAAATAGCGAATCGCGATCTTACCTCACGAAAGCCTATACTTACGTTATGACGGATAGAGACTTAATGAACCTCAAAACGTTGCGAACTTACTGTTGCAAAAAAGAAAAGAGAGGAAACAGAAAAAATACTCCAGACTCTCGACCAACCCTTTCTAACGAAAAAGATGATGCGCTGCTGAATTACCGATCGTCCTCTCATTAGCTAACGAATAAATGTAGATGATTTCAATGGAAAAAAAAAAAACAAATTCAATAGTCGGGCTGAATCAAATTAATAAAGTAACGAAGATTGTTTGGCCTCTTGCTCAACAACTCATGCACGATAAGACATGATCGATGATAAAGTTTCTCATAAGAAAATACACGAGCTGATTCAGCTTTGTTAAATTGTAACAAGTACACATATCATATATGGCGCGTGTTCGCAAGAATATACGATGGATGAGCTAAAAAAGCTTTCGCGTTTAAACATCTTTATCAAGACATCTATTAAGTACTTATTCCAACTGAAAAAAGTCACGACGATCGGTTTAATATTCGGCAGCGCGTCCAGCTTGAAAATTAAAGCTGCGTATGCGTTGTATGCTTGTACAATTAAACGTGTATTATACGAAGAATATTATAAAAAGAGTAAATAGTTCGCGGCTTCGCTTGCGATGTACTTATATTATATTATACATATTATAGATATACATATGCACCTACGGTTTTCACCGGCTGGCGGCTACGTCTCCATCTTCTTACTATATATATGTGCTCGTTCTTTTTTTCCATCGATCGATAAGTAAAAATGATGGTATCGACATCACACATACACACAAATATTAAACTTTCTGCGCCCTTCGATTTTTCGTTCCCGTATTTTTCTGTTTACCATGTATGTACATTAATTGAATCCGTGCTTATACAATCTTTTTGTAATCGATCGCGATGTCATTGGCTCAGCTCGGCCGAGGTTGATGTACTAGTTGAGTGGCAAGTTGATCTATGGTATTACGTTACTCGTTGGGTAACGAAAATAAATAACTTAAAATTTTCTATTTAATATTAAAAAAACAATTTGGTACTACTCTAAAGTATTGAAAATGTAGTCAATTCATATTGAAAATTCATTGAAAATCTTATTTTTACAACATTTTTTTTTTCAATCGACTAAAATTTGGTAAAATTACGAAAAAAATCGGTAAAGTTACTTGTATTAAAGATTTTTATCTGAAGTACCAAAAATACTCATGACAATTGCGACTGATCTTTCGATCAAATTGTATTAAATCACATAAAATTAAATTGAAATACCTGCCAACTGATACGTCAACTCTTTAGACTCGGACAAGTTCGAAAAATTGCCATTACTTGCTAAGCCATTTTCATCGAAGAAGTTAGTCCGAAACAGTTTACGCGCTGAAATGAATGAGTGAGTATTTTTTTCTCAATTTAATGTAAAGATATACAAAATTTAAGCGCTCCCTTAACATTTCATTTTCTTAAAAGCTAAGTCTTTTGCATTAACTCCACTTTGACGTTCCGCTTTGAAATTAAATTCAAGGTTAATTGTTTTTGCTATTGAACGATTTCTGACATTATTATTAAATAAAGTAACACTTACCAAAAAACTTTAAGAAGACGTTAAATCTAATCTTTACCAATCGAGTAGTATCCCGCAGAATCGCTACCTCGCGTGTTTCTTGATATAATCTCGGACACTTGAGCCGTTTGATTTTTTTTCAAAGCGATTTCTGGTCTCATCCTTTTATCTTTTTTGTCGAGGAATTTAATTTTATGCACCAATGTACACTGATCAGTAAATTATTTGCAACTTTCTTGAAACGATGTATTCTAGAGGAAAAAAAAATTTGCAAACTGCTCCGAGCAGCGCTAGCAGCGGTTCCAAAGCTAGCAGCAGTTCATGCATTTATTGTCACGGAAGGGCAGGTAAGGTTATGTTCTTGCACCTAACCTAATTCACTTCTAGACATCTCAGTGACACTTGAATTACTGCGTGATTGTATAGCACAGAAACTTATTTTCATCTAATAGACAATGATTTAATTGTCAACGGTTTTGATTTTTCGTAAATATGCATAACCGATTTCACCAAAAATTTTAGTGGAGTAGCAATTTATCTCGTTTCTTGAGGTTGTAAATTATATTTTAATCAGTGTATAAGTGAATTAAAAAAATTTTCATCGATTAAATAAAAGTCTCTTCGAGGATCGAAAAAATGAAATCCTTTGAATTATCGAACGAAAAGCTTAACTGTTTGAGGTATTGACAGTACAACAAACGCAGAGCGAGACAAGCTTTCCAACGGGTTTATTAATCAATCGGCAAACAATGGCTGTAATATCTTCTTAATTTAAAGTATTTGATACTCGAAAACTTTAAGATTACAAATATAGTATACAAAATTTGACTATCAAGATTACTATCAAAATAACTACGATAATAAATTATAGTGATAACGATAATGATAATGATGATGGGTGGTCGAGCTCCTCAAACTTGATGTTTTATAATATCTGGCTTTGGAGTTTTCACAAGTCTTTTTCGGCTATAAATGTTGAAAAGGCCGAGAAACAAGAGTCGGCGGGACAAGGCATCAAGTTCGAAGGCTCGGCCGCTTGTGCACTGTAAATTTTTTTTTTTTCTCATTGAAATACAATAATAATGATGATAATAATGATAATAATGATGAACTTTTATAATTGAATTCTTAAATTTTGCAGCTTGCTGTATAGATACACAATTGCCACGCACGCACGTGATTCTGCTTTCCGGAATTGTGCGGCGTGTGTGGCGGCCTTGAACGTCAAAATCTGTTTTGTTTTTTTTTTTCAGAGGAAAATCGACGTGCAAACGTAATAAGCTTTGAGGCGCACCGCTTGCCGCTGGCTTCCCCCTTTATCCGGTAAACGAGAAAAAAATACATTATCGATGAAACAAAAACATATACGGATGCCAAAATGTTAAAAAAAAAACAAAAAAACAAAAAAAAACGTACAGTTAAAAGAAAAAAAAAAATTACATGTATACAAAAAAAATCAAACAACACATAAGTAGATTTATATTTATACATATTTCTTGCGAACCTTGAAAGCAACGTAACAATGTGTTTACATTAATAAGGAAATAAAATAATAACGTGTGTATAACTCTGTGATACCGTAAGCCATAAGATAGATTATTATTTTGCAATGATCGAGCATAGAAAACTTTTAGCGTAAAAAGCAACAATTAGTATAAACTAAACGTACGAAGGTTGTGTTCGCACTGAGAGGATAATATTTTTCAATTGAGAATTGGAATTGTGATATTTACATTGATTGTGTCGGTATATTCATTTTTCCGATATGAACTTATCGTATTTATTCAACGCGTGAAGATTTTTGTAATTTTTTTTAAACTAAAAAAAAAACAAAAATAAAAAATCGTTAATAACCTATAAAAATTCGTTAAGTTTTACGAAGTCGGTCGAAATTTTTAAAAATATAATTTTTTAATGAAAAAAATTAAAATAATATTTTTGGTGCAAATAAAAGTTAAGGTGATATAGCAATGAATCAAGGAATTTCACCAAGTATTTCTATACATGTTCATATGTCCATGTATATCATCTACTTGCTCGAGAAATAAAGTTAAAAAAAAAAAAAAAAAAAAAATTACGAGTCATAGAAACGAAGATTCCTTTGGACACGCGTCTTTCAGTCTGTACAAGCGATCAAAAGAAAATTATTATAGAATGGGAATATTTATTAGAAGAGATAAAAATAAATAAAAATTTTTCAATTATTGGCAAGTTAATCCGAGTTGAAACAAGATAAGAGAAGACACAGAAGAGTTGATTTGTAAGATTAAAAAAATATATGTGTATATCATTACTGAATACGTATAATGGGCGCTCGAGAGCACTACTGGCTTTATTACGTAATAAGACTGCTTTATCGGTAAAAAAAGGAAAATATTAAAATAATTATTGTAATTTAGAAGTGCAAGATAATGATTGGACGTACATAGCACACATACGCGTGTAACTATTTAAAAGTTTATGTATACGAATATCATATAAATCCCGATTTCTGCACTGGAGAAAGAAAAATGGCTATACAACACACAAGTTTCAAATAGTCTTTGTGACGATCATTAATACTTTGTTTTTTCTATTGCTTTTGTAGATTGAAATTGAAAAATTTCTTTTGATAAAAATTTCGGAAAAATTTACGGATTTTTGCTTTAGCTAGAATCAAATTCACGAAAAAAGTTGTGAATAAATTCATTATTTTTTTTTCTTTGCTTAAAGTCACTTCATGTTCTCCCGTGACGAAATGTAGGGACATTATGGTTTTTGCGTTAAATAATCTACATGGAGGCCACGTTACTACTTATCAAATAGGACGATGGTAAACGTTTACACACACACACACGCGTGCACACACACACACGAAGGCATATGTGAAACAATGTTGATGATCGTAGATTGTGCGACGAGCGCGGTTATGATAACAAAGGAGTAACAACTCTTGTAGCCGTATTTCATAAATTCTGTTTAAACGTACCATTATAATAAAGTGTCAATGGTAATTTTTTCACAGGAAGTCTTATTTATACGGCATAATTCAGAAAAATTCAAGATAGCAATACTAAGTAAATTATAAAAACTCAGTATTAAAATTTCAAAATTTCATTAACTTCAGTGTTCTCACAAAAAAAATAATAAATAAACAAAAAATAAAGCTAAAAAAAGGACTTACTATGTCACTAATATACTGTAGCAACTTTTAGTTTTATTACAATAAAATCATAAGAAAATAGGTACTTAACGCCATATAGTAATTTGACCGTACATCATATATACTTTACGACTATTTTCTACCTAATGTATGTAAAAGCAAATAAATGATCAGCCATACTTTCACGTCAGGCAATCTACGATCCTACAATTGTATTTTTTTTTTTTTTTTTTTTTTCAATTTATTCCAAAGCATAGAAAGTAACGAGTTTGCTACACTTATATTTTGTATTTTTACGATTATCATCGTAGCGATTACCCATTCATCAAAAGATTACTGTTAATACTATTTATTCTTATTAATGTAAAAAAACTAAAAAAGGAAGAGGAAAAGAAGTAAAGACAGAAAAAAACGAAGAGGTACTTTTTTCGAGGGCCATTTTGCGCTGATTTTTATACAACATGGACGAAGAGAAGAATCAAAACAAAGTAAGAATAATTCAATCTTTTTTAACGTCATTCGCTCGTGCTTTGGTACATTGAACGATTACTA